CGCGGGCCCCGGCCCCAAGTCCGTTCCTCTGTGTGCGGGCCTCCTCGCTCCAGCCAGCTGGTCTCCCCGCACTGCGGCGTTAGGAGGCGGCGGGCTCCGCCTTCGCCAAGGGGCAGCCGGAGCGCCAGTCTGGTTCCCGCAGCTCCGCTGATTCCCCCATCTCAGCCCTGCGTGAGCATCTCTCAGGCTGTCTTCTTGGAGGTCTCCCTTCGCCCCTGAGGCTGCAAGATGGTGTCCTGGATGATCTGTCGCCTAGTGGTGTGAGTATGGCCACTCTCTCAGCCCCACTTCCCGGGTGCCAGCCTGTCCCTGGGGTGGAAGCTAGGAAGGTCAGGTGGGAAAGGGGACTTTGTGAGTTCCTTCACACCAACCCTCCCAACACTCACCGCCAAGGGTTAACGGTTATGCGGCCCTGCACGCGATATCTGGCACCGCGGGCTTTTCTCCACAGCCCCCAAAGCCTCCTTGGCTGATGGCGACCCCTCTTGTACACACATGCACTGCATACAGGTGCTGTGGAGTGGAGGACCACTGGCTTGCCATAAGCCCTTTGGCAGACACAAGGTGTTGAGGCATGTTGTGGGCGGAGAATCCAGATGTCTGTTTCCCCTCAGAGCAGTCACATGACTCACCACCCTGGCCTCACCTCCCCACTCTGTCCTACTCATCACCCTTCAATACTTAGTACTTGGCTTGAATATCCCTGTCTGCGGCCTGGCAGTGCCAGGTCTGGTGGCCCTGGGCCTAACTGAATGTCCATGGGAGGGGACAGCTTAGTGCTGTCAACAGCTCACAAGCCTGCGTCCCACCCACCATGTTGAGTGGCTCTGTGCTCTGGCTCTATCGTGCACCCATGGGCCACTGCGCAGGTCTGGGCAGGCTTGGGATGTTTGTAAACAGCAGGGTGGGGAGGTGGCCTCCAGGGCACTGACTCAGGTGCAGGTTGTGCAAGCCAAGCGGGAAGAACAGGGTAGGCACTGTCACCTCACACCCGTGGTGGAGGTGGCCACCTGTGGGGGGATGCAGGGGCATAGTGCCCCTCACACTCTTCCTCTGCTTTCTGGCTTGCTCTTCCAGGCTGGTGTTTGGGATGCTGTACCCAGCTTATGCTTCCTACAAGGCTGTGAAGACTAAGAACATTCGTGAATATGTGAGCGTAGGGGTTGGCTGAGTGCTTGACTCAGGAGGGGTGGGACAACAGCCTTGGGGCGTATGATATGACTTGGCAAGGTGGGGAGGGTCTGAGCTGGCCTCCCCCTCCTCCATGGGTGTAATCTGCTGTTGGATCCTGAGCAGAGCAGGTGTGGCTAGAGGATAAGCTGTTGGGGTGCCTGTGCAGGACATTGTGGGTCAAGCCCACTGGGGGTGGGTACAGGAATGAGTGGCTTTTTCTCAGAGGCAGCTCTCTAGGGCCATCCAGGTGCCAGGGAACGCAGTGGGACAGGCTCTTTGGCATCTCAGAGCTGGGTCAGCCCGGGACAGGTGTGTTGACTCTGCAGGCTCAGCTGCTGGCCTCTGACCTCCCTGCACCCCCAGGTCCGGTGGATGATGTACTGGATCGTCTTTGCCCTCTTCATGGCGGTGGAGACCTTCACAGACATCTTTATTTCCTGGTATGGGTACAGGGCTCTGTGGGCTGTGGAAAGGGATGGACCACACTTGGCCTGGCTCCCTGGCTGACCTTGACACCTGTGCTCTGACAGGTTCCCATTCTACTACGAGATCAAGATGGCCTTCGTGCTGTGGCTGCTCTCACCCTACACCAAGGGGGCCAGCCTGCTTTACCGCAAATTCGTCCACCCATCCTTGTCCCGACATGAGAAGGTACCCCA